ACTTCACCTATTCGAATGACACGGTAGTGTATCGTCCTGGTCCATATTTTTCGTAAGATAATCAAACAGGTTTTCGAATAATGATTTCAGGTCAAGGCCTACCTGAAAGGAATAATATTGTGTAATCTTAAATGCTACAATAATGCGACTATGCTATTTAGCGCACTAATTTGCATCAATAAGGTCAATTATTTATGTGTTTTTATTCTTTTTTCTCAACTGTGGCTGTTACCTTGACGCAGTGGTGACCTAATTGTGCTCCTGACATAACTGGGATGTGACGGCAGTAAGGTATTTCTCTCAAGTGCCCAGGATCTGCAACTGTGCAGCCTTCTAACAACAGAAGGAAAAGGTTTGGAAAGGTCAGCTCTAAAGATGTCACACCTCACCACACACCACGAATTTCTGTCTTTGGTGGTAAGTGCGCATCCGTGATCCCACACTCGGAAACCAAATTCAAGATAGCTAAGCTCACGCACGAAGGCCTAACCGCCAGACCATTGAACTGGCAACTAATCACGTTAGATCAGTTCACGATTTCAATGAGGTTCAAGAATCCTCATAACCCCTTAGTGATAATTAAAATTTTGAATAGTTTGAACAAGTAGTTGACCATACATCAAAGCAAGTCAGTCAGTCAGTCACAACGTAGGACCAGGCACATATATGCGTCGGTCCAAGTTGCCATACCTCATTAACACAATAAGATGAACACCGGATTCATAACCACTTAAGTGGTTAATTCAGTGGTGGTAATATATAAAAGAAAGATTGCATATAAGGACATATTACAGGAAGAATTAGTTCGTAGAAAGAAAGATATGAAGCGATTTTAGTTTCATAGCTTAAGGGAAGACAGAGAGTGTATACACCGACGCCATTGTGATCGATTCCGAGCCATGTCACCAAGAGTCTTCAGCCATTGGTTACGATAGTCACGCGGACCCCAACCAAGTAATCTGCATCTACCAACATGGCTCAGACTAGAAGTTAGTGACTTCAAGCACTGATGTCACGTTTTGGTTTGGCCGCCTCTAACTTTCTTCCAACAATCTCTAACACCGGTTAGCATTGCATAAGTGAATTGTGAGGAGTTCAAAAGCTTAAAATCTGGGGAAGTCAAAATAAATGCACCTGCGCCATCACAAACGATTTTGAGCCATGTAATTTAAAGTCTCTAACCACTAGTTACAATAATAGGGCGAACCCGAATCAGGCAGTCTACACCTGTTAACATGGCTCAGTCCAGTTGTCAGTATGTGGAACGGTGCCATGTTTTGGTATGCCACTCCTAGCTTTATTCCAACCTACTCCCATACCAGAAAACACTTCTTGCCGAGGTAGGTGGTGTACGGGTATAAGTGACGTATCCAAACTACCTCATTTAATAAAAATCTACTTCCTGATCAATTCGCTTGTCATCTTTACCTAGTGTATCCTATTCCTAACTCAAGCATTGCTTACTTAGTGGTCTCAAAATGCGCGAGCAATGGTTCGAAGATAATTATGGTGGAATACTAGTAACCTAGTGATATCTGCTCTTAGTGACCATACTTCACACCACATAAAGTAGAACGGACTATCTTTAACTACCTGCTTGGGTCATTATTTTTGAAAATTATATTTGAAATAATCTCAGCGATTGAAATTTAAATAATTCCAACGTTTCGTCCAGCTAACTTGTCTGGACTTCTTCAGGGTAATAATCAAAATCGAAATCATCGAAGCTTCTTAACAATCAAAACTATACTGTGTTAAACCAATCAAATTTGGATGTTGATTTTTGTAAAATAGGATAAAGTGAGTCAGGTAACTGCAAATCATGTGAAAAATCCAATTACACAACACCTAAACTGATAATTACCATGTGCTCACTAGTGACTAGCTTCGTGAGAAAATTCTCGGAGTTCTGGTGAGAAGCCGTGACCGGTGGAGCTAATCCGTGTCGGGTAGAAACAGGTGTCTACCTCAGCACAATGAAAGATGGTCGCGCAATTTCGTGGGTTGGTTGAGGTTAGACATTAGCACCATTGGATGCCGGCTCAGTGGTCTAGTTGGTTAAGCGCCTGACGCGCGACTGATAGGTCCTGGGTTCGAACCTCGCGGGTGCGGGATCGTGGATACGTGCTGCTGAAGGGTCCCATACTAGGACGGAACGGCTATCCAGTGCTTCCAGGTTTTCCATGGTGGTCTAGTTTCAATGGACTCATGATTCCAACTAAATACATGGAGATACTTAACTGAATAACAAATTGTATGTTTGTGAGTGTGTAGGTATGTATGTATGTGTGGGAATTAATCATTGATATTCGGTGTTAATATGTTATATATGAAGGAATAAATAAATAATATTTCAAGTTCAGGGTTGAAAAATTGTTAATGAAGAAGAACAGCCTGAACCGAAAGGATGGTATTCAACTAGCGACCACCTGGCAAATTTCCTTTTGACAAGTAATTTGAACCTCTCTTTATTCAACCTGTTTATTTCACATGCATCGCTATTTTTGAATGAATTCAATGAGTTTTTAGCAATACAATTATGTATTTGTTTGATTCTTAAATTTGACATGCACATCGATGGTTCGGACAGTGTACAAGCGATTGTCTAATGAAATCCAGTCTATGAGAGCCTGTTCCGCTTTTGAACTCCGTGCCGTACCTATACCAATGAGGTCACGAGGGATGGTAGTCGAAGTCCCCAGATACATGGAGGGCAAATCGTCCCGTTTCTCTGTATTGACTGTCCGAGGTCAAGTGATTGACCTTGTTTGACATACGGTCCGAAAGTTGAGTGTTGTCAAGAGACCAGGAGTAACATTTTATGGACTCAGATACTTAGCATAGTTGGTGCACGGGATAAAGTCATATGTGAAGGGTTAGTGGTTGAGTTGAAAAAATTTCATCCGATGAAGAGACTTGATAGTGGACAAGAGGATCTCTAGTGCTGTTACAGGTATGAAGGTAGTTGTCACTTGGGAATCAGTGTCATCTTATTCGCTCACAGTACTTACTATGGTTTTATTTTCTTCGTGTACAATCCCTAGCTATCATTGATTCACGTCTTGATTTTCTATTTTTGTTTCAGAATACTTTAGACATAACTGAGTCCAATTAATTCGACAGAAAAATCTTACTATTCACTATTCTCGTCTCCAAACTGATATTTGTAAATATACATAAAGGCTCTTTACTGTAAAAATTCATTTTGTTCTAATAAACATTGCAGCCGATAATACGCCTGTCTTTTCAATGGGGCTATCCCAGTATTAACCCGAAATTTTGTCCGTCATGTCTCGATGTTGGGAGCTTGGGTCTGTGTTTAAATATGTTATTAGTTATAAAAGTTATTTTAGTGCATGCCTATAAAGTGGAACAACTGTTTGATTTATATATGTTGAAATTAATCATATTTGTTTGATGTTAGGCATCGTCATCGTATAAGCCGGAGATCGTCATTTCGTACAAGATTACAGGTATATCTTGCTGAGGAGTGTTCGATTGCACAGAGCCTAGGTCGAGGGTACCCTATCGACTACCTCCAACCGCCACCTTACATCTCAACATAGTGCACACGATGTCGAGTCACCTAGACTAGTGGGCACATTGCTACTTAATCGATATAACTTGATCTTTACCAAGGATCTGACATACATGACGTTGGTCACTATCCAGTCAGTTGTAAATACACCTCAGTTCTGCAGGAGGTCAGTCGCGGTTTAAACAGCTCAGTAGTAATGTCTTTGACTCCCAACCACCACCTTACATTGATAGTTATAGCATTCTGAGTAACAGTGATGTTTACACCACCGAGCCTCCATATACCCTGGTACGGCCGATGGTGGGGAGAGTTAGCTCTCCCTCTCGAAATGCTCTCACATGGCCATGTGTATACGGCCACTGACAGAGAAGTTCTACTCACTACCTCGCGGCGGGGGTGCTTTTTCACGAAATTGAGAGGACGAAAAGTGGATATCCGGCGCTTTAGCCGGGTTGGTGGATATGGAGGATCTACCTAGGGGAGTTGGAAATCTCTGATTCCAAACCGATAGTGCACATGGACTGCAGTATCCTGAGAGAACAAATGGCGTATGAACCAATTATTGGTCAGCGGCTACCATGGGACTGCATCTCCTGACGTTGCTCCACTGCCTTGTGGATCAGACCTTTAGGTTAAAGGCTCCGGGTGTGGTCTTTTAAGATAACCACCTTCTTCGATCTGGCACACAGGCAGTATCACAGCCCACATACAAATCAAGTGGCTTACTTGTGTGGCGCATATGTATTCGGTGCTCTTTTGTACCAATATTCATGTGTTCAAATAAATAAAACCACCGAGAAGTTAATCTGCAGCTGATAGATGCACAAGTTTCTGTTGTATTAGATTAGTGAGTGAATATTTTCCATCCAAGATTATTAAACAAGAATACGCTTCACAGGAACTAACTGTCTACACTAAGCTCTATAGTCCTAATAGGGCGATATCTGCTGGTCATAAAGCAGGGGTTCTTTTTAGTTTTGATTTCAAATGTCTTACATACTGTTCAGCAGTCAGCTCTTTTTTGTTTCGTAGATATAGAAAGTAGCTACCAAATCCAGACAACTGATTACCATTCATATCTAAGTATCAATCACTTGGTTTTGTATTAAATATACCATCTGAAAGGTGAAAGTAATGTGAAAACAGATTAGTACGTTTGAAATTAAATAAGATTTGGATTCATGACCTATCAGATTTTGGCATTTACTGTTGTCGAAAATATTCGATTACACTGAATTGATTTGCATGTAGAGTTCAGCAACAAACGTTTCTATTGTAAGATAATTATCTGTTTATTTAGCTATCAGAGGAGAAAATTAAAGTAATTCTACGTGCTGGAACCCATAAACCATGTGAACACGATCGGGTCATTGTCGACGTCTCACTTGTTGTTGATGCCCAAGTGATTCTTCAGAACCAGAATATTACTTTTGATGTGGGGCATGCAGAGGATTTTGGAGTTATGAAGGTTGTGGATAATATAGTCCAAGACATGGGCTGTGGGGAACAGTGTGAAGTGACTCTTACATCTGACTACGCCTTCACAGATTTGGAGAAGAGATTTTTGAAAATCGATGATGCATGTTTCCACAAAATATTGTTTAACATATATCTCCAAGATGTCAAAAAGGTAGGTCGATAAAATGATATTCACTTAAACATCCATAGCTTGCAGAGTTTTGGCGAATGTCTGAAAGTGAAAAATTTATTGTTGCTGATGTGATGAAATATCGTGGTAATAAACTTCTGAATGTAAGTACTTTTGAATTCGGTAAACTAACCTCGAAATCTAGTGGTTACTCTTCTTTTCGTTATATTGTCAATAAAAGGATTCGGGTGCTGCGATTGCAGAGTGATATTTGTTATCAAACATTAACCACCTACTATCTCAATAAACAAAAATGGTTTCTCTTCAGTATATGTTGGACTCTATAGCTTCTACTCTGCTCTAAGTATTTTGTAGATCTGTGGTGTGCAGTCAGTATCCCTTAGTCCGACTAATTTGATTAATAGTGTCTGTTAATAAATAAAAATAGGTTGTCTCTGTAAATCGTTTTCTAGTTGTGACTCATTCTAACAGTCAGCGTCTTTACAAACTGATTCCATGCCTTAGTTTAGCCGCTCCTAGCTTGCTCCCAACCTATTTCTAAACCAGCCATCATAGCTCGTCTAGGTAGTTGGTGGGTGGATATACTTAATACGTGTCCTAATCACCTCAGTCGATGAAGATTTACTATCTCGACAATTGATTTACCATCCTCAACTAGTGCTCTGCGTTTAACCTCACAATAAGTAACTCGTTGATCCAAAAAAAATATACGAGCAGTGATTCGAGGACACTTATGGTCGAATACTAGTGACCTACGTATATCTTCTATTTTTAAAGACCACCTTTCACAGACATTAAGTGGTACGGAACTAACCGATGCACAGTATAGTCGTTTTTTTATTTTGCAAACGGATAAATCACTCACGTCACAAGTGATGTAAGTTGGATAACACCAAATGGGCTTTCTAAATTCATGCAGAGCTTTCGTCAAACATCAACCTGTGGAGGGTGATGAGACTTCCGAGATAATTAAAGTGATAAACGTACTCAACTTCTTCCTGTTTTCAGTTCAGCTGCTGGGGCAGATCAGTCCTATGCACCATTTTATGTTTAGAGAGACTTAAAATCGAAGAGTACGTCTCGAAAGCGGATGAATTCGATAAACAGGAAGTATGAAATAATATTTAGCCTCGCCACAGTGATCAATCCTGAGGCATATCACCCAACTCTTTCAATTGCTGATCGAGGTCATCCCAAAGACCCAACCCAGTTAGTCTCCACTTGCCAATACGACTCAGCCTAATGACTTCATGGATTGGTACTGTGTCTTGGTTTGATCATCCCTAGTCTTCTACTAAACATTACTACTTCTGCCAAATTTATAGGATATCCCGATCGTTTGCTTATTTCAGTCATTTGGTTTGTACGGTATGTTATGTTTGTAGAATGTCAAATAGAGTTTTTCCTTCCGTATGATTCTGAAAGTCCTGTTGTTTTATTCACATACCCAGAATAAATCTTATTTACCTTTATTGTTCAGATTTCCGATTCATTTTGCGAGTTTATTGATGTGGTTATATGTTCGTAGTAATAAACTATACCCAATTGCCGTTTAGTTGAATTTTTGAACCGTTAAGGTTTTTTTGGTTCTTAAAGTCTCATATACACTGAGACATACATTCACACAGCTTTTGTGTTTACTATAAGAGCTATCTACCTTGGATCTAACTACCTGTCTTGAGGTCTTGTGCTGTTTCAAAGGTTTTTGAGTTGATAACACAGTCATATTTGCAACAGACTCTTTACCTCAAGAAAAACAATGAAAAATGGCTATAATTTTGATGAATATAATGTCACTTGTCAAAATAACGATTATTACCATTATTAAACCAGTTAGTCTACGTACTGACTTACCTACGCCGGTTACCAATCGTGGACGAGCATAGGTCGCTCACCAGCACCGTTCATCCAACCCTTTCCTTGGCAACCCTTTCCAGTTGTTCCCAGTTGCTATTTATACTTTTCATATCTGCCTCCATTTCCCGACGTAGTGTGTTCTTCAGCCTTCCTCTTTTCCGTTTCCCTTTAGGATTCCAAGTTAGGACTTCAGTGGTTTCCTCAATGCATGTTCTATCCCCTTCCAACGACTCTCCCTAATTTCCTCTTCAGTTGGAAACTGGTTTGTCCCCTCTCACAGTAGGTTGTTGCTGATGGTATCCGGCCAATGGCTGTTGAGTATATTGCGTAGATAGCTGTTTATAAATACTTGTACCTTCTTGATGATGGTTGTGGTAGTTCTACGATTTTCAGCTCCGTACAGTAGGACTGTCATGACATTCGTATTGGAAATTCTGACTTTGATATTGGTTGACAGTCGTTTTGAGTCCCATGTATTGCTCAGCTGTAGGAATGCTGTCCTTGCCTTGCCAATCCCCGCCTTCACATCTGTATCTGATTCTCCTTGTTCATCGATGATGCTGTCCAGGTACGTAAAAGTTTCCACCTCTTCCAGATTTTCTCCATCAAGTGTGATTGGATTGGTGTTCTCTGTGTTGTATTTGCAGTGTAGTCAGTCCGTAGTATGAATGCCTGATGATATTGACCATCTTCTCAAATACACCATAGTGTCGAAAACGTTTCCATGAAGTCCTCCTATCCATACTGTAGAATGCTTTCTCATAGTCAACTGATTGTTCAACGATGATCCGTAGTGTCGTAATTTGGTCTGTGCACCACCGATCCTTACGGAATCCAGACTGTTGATCTCGAAATTGGGCGTCTAGTGAGTCTTTCATCCGGTTCATCAACACTCTGTTGAAAACATTTCCTGGTACTGACAGTAGTGTGATGTCTCTGTAGTTTTCACATTTGCTCAGACCGTTTTTCTTTGTAATCTTGATGAGGTGTATTTCTTTCCAGTCCATCGGCACTTGTTCTTCCTCCCAAATCTTCTTGAGTAGAAGGTGACGCGTGCTTGTAGTTACTTCGATGTCTGACTTCAGTGCTTCAGCTGGTATATTGTCAGGTCCCGCTTCTTTCCCAATCTCGATTTATCTGACGGCCATCCTGATTTATTCGATCGTTGATGGAGTGACATCTATAGGAAAGTCTGTGTGTGTTGCTTCGATGTCCGGTGGATTTAATGGGGCTGGTCTATTCAATAGTTCTTCGATGTATTCTACCCGTCTGGTCCTCTGTTCTCGATTCTCGGTGATTTTCTCGTCTTGTTTGTCCTTGATCGGTTTCTCTACTTTACTAATTTTCCCTACCAGTTTCTTCGTTGTGTCATACAGTCGTCTCATTTTTCCTTCTGTTGAAGCTTATCCTGCTGTCGCTGCTAGGTCTTCCACGTATTTCTGCTTGTCGGCTCTAATGCTCTTCTTCACTTACTTGTTTGCTTCTGTGTACTTAGCTTGTGCTTTGACTTTCTCTGCTCGTGTTCGTCTGTTGTTAATTGCCGTTTTCTTGTTCTTCCTTTCTTCAATCTTGTCCAGGGTTTCGATAGAGATCCATTCCTTATGATGACGATTATTGCGGCCTAAAACCTCCTGACATGTTGAAGTTAATGCTTCTTTGATAATTTTCTACTTGTCCTCCATAGTACTTTCTTTCTTCAGTAGATCCTGTAAGGCTTGGAATCTGTTGTTGCGAGCTAACTCGAATATGTTGAGTTTGTCAGTATCTCGAAGGAGGGCTGTATTGAACCTTTGTAATGCTGTCCCACCAGTTATACAGTGCTTCTTTAGCTTCAGTCTAATCTTGGCCACCACCAGTTGGTGATCTGAATCTATGTCAGCTCCTTTCCTGATTCTCACATCCTCCATTGTCCTAGTGAATTTTTACTGATGCAAATATGACCTTTCCGGTTCACCGTGGTGTGGTCCGGTCAGACACATGTGGCTTTGTGTATACGTTGACTTGAGAATCTTGTGTCGCCTGTAACCAATTTGTTGAGTGCACATGAATTCGCAAATCTCTCCCGATTTTCACTCCTTTCTCCCAGTCCATGTCGTTCCATGATATCTTCATACCCGGTGTTGTCCATTCCGAGTTTGGCGTTTAGATCTCCCATCAGAATGGTGAGGTCCTTTCTTGGGCACTTCTCTATGATTGATTGCAGCCTCTCGTGTAACTGATCTGTATTGTCGTCGTTGCTATCATTGGTGGGTGCACAACATTGGATAACATTCATTGTGATGTCCGTCTTCTTTCTTTTGAAGGATGGTTTGATGATTCTGGTTCCGTGAGATTCCCATTCAGTAAGTGCGTTTCGTGCTTCTTTGGACAACATCAGAGCATTTTCCTTTTCGTGACCGCAGTACAGTAGCATCACTCCCATATCTAGCCTTTGCTATCCACCTTGGGCCCATTAGGTTTCGTTGATTCCGAATGCTGTCAATTTGTATCTCCTTATTTCCGTTACCATATGACTGGTCCTCTCGGTTTCCCACCTTTTCCGAACTTTCCATGTGCCTAGAAAAATTTTAGCTCTGGATTTTAGAAGGGGCATCGGCCTCGTGACTTCTGTCACAACGTAGAACCTGTACGTATGTGCATTGGTTCAAGTTGGCATACCCCATTTATTAAATGTTACCCATTGATTGTGGTATCAAAACCAGGTTCTCTTAATTCGGACGCTTGAATTAGAGTGAACTATCATCTAGATCTGATTACTATTACACCTTCAGTAAGGCATAAAAGTTCCTATTTTTAGGCCTTAGTTTTCCGGTCAACTTCAGTTTTCTATTGGGAGCTATCAACGACAGTTTAAAGCGACAGAAATAGTATCTTATTGAAGTTTTAAACGCCTGATTCTGTTGCAAACTCACACAAAATTCTCCAGATTAAAATTTTTTGCTGATGAATAGATTTGCATTGCAGTTAGGTTATGCTGGAAATATGTGATCACGTAAATGTTTAAGATTCATTGTGCAATCGTCAGAGTTTCATAACCACCTCTCATTGACTTCAAGATGTAAGAATAAAACTGAAATTACAAGAAGGTTGTAACTGTTCTCATAAGTGTTGTTGCTAATATATTGTACTTCTTGCATTTATATTTACTTAAGGCTTTGACACATTTGTTCATTCCTATTTTTCAAACTTAGGTGTACTTCGTAAACGTTGTGTAGCATCGTGTTTAATTCTGATTTTATATAGTGGTTGTGTTGAAAATACGTTTTGCGTTTTTCTTTTATAAAGTACTCGGATTGTTCGTATCTGACTACACTAGCTTCTTGGAGGACAATTTCAGCTAAAAAATACTGTAGACTAAGCTGAAACGACAAAGGTTCTTGTAAAATTCCTGAGTAAAATGTCGGATATGTTCTCGTAGATTATCGAGCTGTAAGTTTAAAGACAATGTTTCAATGCCAATTGATTTTCTACATTTCAGACTGGATTGTTGGTTCGTGCATTCAATTGCTACAAAAAAGCTATTAGAATCCTAGAGGGAAGCATCAGTGTGACTGACCATAACTACACCGACCCAACGATGCCAGATTATCAGTTGTCGAAACCTAGCCCACGTCAGTTATTAGCTATTTGCCTATCGAACGCAGCCCACTGCCTGTATAAATTTGGGACAACATGCACTGTCGATCCAAAGAAGTCTCAATTCGATTACCTTTCTGCATGCATCAAATGCTGTGAGCGAGCAGTCAGTCTTGAACCAAACTATATAAAGGCTTGGTTCCGTATAGCCAAAGTTAGTCTGTCGAATATGTGTATGCTTAATGCAGTATTGGTTGTAAAATGCATGTAAAATCATTATTGCAGGTGTCGCTTGCACATTTTTTACGTGCTATCGTTTGAAGAAATGAACACCTTTGGTTCTGGATATCCGGCTTTTCTTCTTTTTAGATCAGTCCTATTAGTTATTTGTTTATAAGAAAATTCATCTATTGAAAACCAAGTGGTTGGAATCCGGGAAAAGGAGTATGATGGTTTGTCTCCTGAGAAATCCCATCACATATGCTACGATCAGTAAGCCGTCATCGGATTTCTAATCACAACGAAATTATAATTAACACAAAGTAGAAAAGACATTTCTACGTGTGAAATCATTACTGATATAAATTTCAAATTACATCAGTAATATAATTGTTTCTGACTGAATCCTATTTCTTAATACTTGTTTGCTTTTAGGTTCATGCTTTATTAGGGAACTATGAAGAAGCGCTTACAACTGGACAAAAGTGTCTTACATCTATCGATAGAAACACATATGACTCTAAATGGATTAGCGTCGATGAACGCACAAAAGTGGATATCAGCAACAAGCTAAAGAAACTGCTATCAGAATGGCGCGCTTCATTAGATAGTGAAGAAAAAATCGAAAGATCGATTATTCGGGACCGAACAATTAAAAAGTACTCATCTTATGGAGATTGGTGCGTAAGTGTCCCCACTTTATTTTCAGTAATTAAAAAAGTTAGGTTTTTAAGCTATGCAAAAAGTAATGAATTGAATTTTCTATATTCTATACACATTGTGTAAATACACTTCCATGTTTTATGATGAGTACTTATGTATGTGATGGTTATGAACATATATCAAATACAACTGATATTAAGTGCTACTGTAAAATACAACTAGGACTATTACGGTTTAAAGATAATTTTCAACACAGACTGACCAGGGATTCTCTAGCCGATATCAATTTGTGATGAGTGTTATCCTCAAATTGAACTAATTTCCGAAGACCAGTTAAAATGAGCTATAGGTTAAGATATAACATTGTGGAGCTAAGTGAGAATTCATAATGAGAATATATAGACTTTCTTTCTTCAAGTGTTAAATATTGTACTATTTCTTGCCCACTTATTTTGTCAGTTTCCTCCGTTAACTTCGTATTATTTGCTGTTATGATGTACAGTAACTTTGGTGCATATATACTTGTGTTAAGTCCCGCGTTATTTATAAGTGGCGCACCAAAATTATATTAACATAGTTTTTAATTATGAATACTGTTGTTTTGTGAGATAATGACATCATTATTCATTGTTGTTTTTTAAAAGTATGATGAACTGGATGAAATAGAAAAATTGCCTATTTCAGTATGGTCGAATGATCTAGCAGAGAATATGATGTCTCTTCATGAAGAGCTTGAAGCGTTTGGAGAGAAAATGCCTGAATTTGGGGCTTGCCGAGCAAGAGGTAAAGGTCGATTAACAACAATTCACGATGAAGACACCGATGAAGACAGTTTCCAAGAAAATGTGGCTTAAGCACCAAGTCAATTTGACGTACTTTTATTGGGAAAACAAATTTAACATTCACACGAACTATATAATGTACATTCATAAAGTATTAATTTTATACAGAAATAAGTAAATAAAAATATTATTACACATTTAAAAAATTGTTTTCATAGTTTCTGGCTGAGAACACGTTTAAGTTGAAATGCTGGATAAAGATTCTCCATTTTCATATAAGGTATTAAAACATCTGGGACGATAATATGCTTATCCTAAAAATAAGACAAATGGAATAGTTTATTTCTCTAGTGTAAATGAAATTAGCGAATAAATTAACTCTTAGATTTGTTAATTAAAAAAATATTGACAGATCAACTTATCCTACTTAGCTGATGAGTTCAGTCCAATGTGAATTTTAATGAAAGATATTAATCCAGATCAGTCCTGAACCATATGATATATGATGGACAAGTATTGGTAAGATTCAAATTCTAAATGAAGTTGATGTAACTTATTTACGAAGTAAAGGTTTATGTATTTACCTCGGGTTCAGAATTTTGTACGAAGATTAATGATACTACTACTCAACTGCCAAAAATGAAATAGGTAGAATGAGTTATGCATATTGGAACTCACTGGTTGATCGTTTCTGTTTGATTTGGTGGAAAAAAAGTGTCTTATGAAATTTGACCCAACAGTATTTGTTGTTGTATAAATTAATAATACACAAAAATTGTGCACAATATTACTAATGACTAAAAGTGTCGTTGTGCTTAGTTAACAATTAGTGAATTCACGTACTTGAGTCTGGTGGGTCTCTATTAGGGCTTTCATTATACGTGGGATTGCACAGGCAGTTCCATTTAACTGTAAATACCAAAAAACAAATAAAAATATTGACAGTAAAGATCAATGATGTTATAAAAAATGCTTTATTAGAAGACAACTTTTTGTATCAGTGAATTAACCTACCACTGAAACGATGTGTAGACTGATGAAATCGCAAGTTAATCATTTAACTTCAAGCATAATACTTTTGGTGTTTACAGACGATTGTATTAAAAGAATATAATACTGCAAATGAGTTCTTGGCAGGATGCAAGTTTAAGGACTGTATGTTCATAGCTTTCATCGTTGAAATATTCACTATGGCTTTCAAACATTGGGTTGCGGTGGCTCAGTGGCTGTGTTTGACTTTCAACTGTCAAGCTCCGGGTTCAAGCCCCGCCCTACCTACTTCGGTTTGGGCAACCGGGTTGCATTATTAGACTTTATACTTACAGTGTGCCTCATATTAAAGTACCTATATCATTAGTTAACTTATATTTAGAAATTGAAAAAAGGTCCCAAACAATAGCTTAAAATCGATTAAATAAACTAAAACTTTGTTATTACAACATGGTAAATAAATATGTATTTTGTTTTAATGACGTCTGAGTATTTAATACTACATAGATTTTCGCAATTGAACATAATTTTACAGACAATCGGAACTATCTTTGAATAGTTTTACAAATATTTACTTCAATAAACAACATGAAGACCAACTGATCATTTGTAACTAGGTGGTTGAAATTCGACTCGATAACATCACAAGATTTGTGACAAAATCATAATTATTCTATAATGATTATCGTATTATAGTTTTTTTTAAAGACTTCAAATTAAATTAATATATAATTCACTACTATATGTTATGACCTTGGGTGTCTGACTTTTCTATCACACGATTTATCTACCAATCCGAACACGACTTATACGAATCTTCACACTAGGCCAACCAATGACGTTCAACCGGTGTGGGCAGTTTAGCGTCCTTATTGGTCCTATGTCCTACGAGCCCCTCCACTTGAGTACAGAACATAACACCAGCTTCCGAATCAGAGCAGATCATTTATTTCAGACATACCCGGTTTATATATCAATCAGACAGACCGCAACGTACCATAAAATAGGAAATAATATTTGTACACAAATAAGCCCAAAAAGTGGCTGTGAATGTGGGAGGCAGTAGTTAATAAACTGAACATAACTTAAGAACCGTAAACCGTACAATAATGAATTATAGGTCAAAATAAAGCTTGTAATAAGAGGAATATAAATATGCATAATGTAATTGTTGAATAGTTATACAATAAGAATATTTATAGAATATTAGTCCATTAATAGTCCTTGGAAGTTACCTGTAATTTAATCTTCACACTATACTTACACAAATTCAAACGTTTATAGATGGAATATTATTAACTTTACATAATTAATTGAACATTATTCGTAATAAGTAAAATAAACTAAGCACATCATATATGTAATACAAATACTTACTGTGTAAGCAAATTCATTTTGGTTACTAGATGTTTGCCATTGAATATTTAAACGTTTTGATTGATAATCGAGACAGATTGATGAACTAGAAATCTGTAAAAGATAAAACAGATAAAGTCATGTGAATAAACATGTATAAACTGGCTTATAAGTGATAGACTAAAAATATGGTAGAGAGATGCGACATTTTTTTATTTATTAGACCACTACTCAGTAGTATGTATAATATACGTATCACGGCTTTTACGATAAATACATATATCCTGAAAAAATTTACAGAACTCACATCAACTTACAACCATGGTCAGCTTGATATATATATATATATATATATATATATATATATATATATATATATATATATATATATATATATAGTAATTTTAAATGTAAACGACCGGTACATGACAGCTTGTTTAAGGTGTTGTAGTTCAAAAAATTGCGCAGGTAGTACTTTTTTCACAGGAATTACAGCGACGCAAAGCATCATTCAGAGGCAATTCACACTTCGCATTCTTCGGACTGATCGTACTTTAAACTATAAATCCAGATTCAATGAGCTTGAATTCGATCATTCATCAAAGCGGTGACCTAAACTATTATCTCCAATGATGCAATTCAATATGCAGAAATGCACAGTTGTAGTATTCGTAACTCTATCATTCGTGAGGTGAACACATTCTAAATCTGCCCTCTATATCAATAGGTTTACCAGTAAATTTCGAGGCTCTGGAACAATAATCTGCTGCATCCTCCCGATGAAATAAAATCACTCCCATTCTTTCTTCACTGTATTGATACTTACTGCTCCTTTGAAAATGCCCGAAGTGTATTTACACTTTTAAGTATATCCTATTCGACCAGTGAAATTATGGGAACGTTAAATGTTTAATCGTTATTATTACTGAGTCCATTCATTAAACTCTACCTGCAGATAATCTACATTTGCACCATCCCTGGTAAAGTTAACTGATTTAAATATCTAACACGAACAGTAAATCGTAAAACAACATGGTACACACATCTCAATAGACCTTTCATACTAATTATTGTTGTTCTGTGCTTTCTGTTTGCGTTTTATTTTCTCAAGTTGTAGATGACTATAATCAATCTGTCATGGCACCAGAAATGACTTCAGATACACTGTTTATACATCAACATGTCCACTTAGAAAGAATCGATGGTTCCCGAATGATACCTTGCATCGCTGTAATTCCTGTGAAAAAAGTACTACTTAAAGAATATATATATATATATATATATATATATATATATATATATATATATATATATATATATATATATATATATATATATATATATCAAATAATAAAGCGTGTGTAAAGCAAATCTGCAAAACAAAGTTTCAAAGAGATTAATTAAATGCAACTAGCTGAATAGTCTTAGAAAACACGTACGAGATAATTGTCTTCTTCCACAACTAATTATATAATAGGACTGATGTGGCTCCGTCCTAACGCGTTCAGCTGAGGAGCCAATCATATTTTCCAGGTGGGATGGTATATGGGATCAATCAGAAACCGGTCAGATGATAGATGCACGTGGCCAAGAAACGGGGATAAGATACACCAATGGTGGCTTAATTTTTGAGGGACGAAGATGTGCATCTATGTGGATGAGTATACATTCGTTAGATTTGGTTTGATCAATAAACTTTTCTCTTAGTCTTTCACTTGAGTAGTCCATCGGGTTCGTGCATTGGAAGATTACACATTCTTATCAACTCTTGGACACTACATGTCACACCAAGAAGAACCTAAGTGATAGAAGAGAAAAAAACAATGTGCCTCCATCATGAACCTACTGTCATATTCGTCATTTTATTTTGATCCTGAGACTACTGTTGAAATGCTTTATTCACATTTTAGTGAGTCCATTGTTTTATATTTCCCATTGTCTCAAATTATTTATTTAATGCCATTTTTTATGAAATACCCCAATTACTGAATATCTAATCCGATTGTTTGCAATGTATTGAGTAAATAAATCACATTTTTCAGGTTATTTCCGTTTACTTAATCGCACTATCCATTATCAATCGACTGAATTCACTCAAAACCGAGGATTTCTGTCACCTTTACAATATATGGTTTACTGTTCACTGACTGTATATTAACTCCGCCTGTAGCTCTAACAGGGTTACTGCCGGTCCCAAGCCCGGATAAAGGAGGAGGGTTGGGCATGGGGTTAGCGTCCCCATCCCGTAGAAAACTAACTCGCTAAAAAAACGCTTACCAGAAAAAATAATCCAAACCATTTAAACTCTGCCCTGGGAGTTAGAAGGTCTTCAGTTAGAAGAATTATGACGCTTCATGGTGAAAGCCGAGTTCCTTCGGAAGCCACGAGGCCGATGCCCCTTCTAACAACCAGAGCAAAAATTTTTATAGGTACATGGAACGTTCGAACAATGTGGGAAACCGGGAAGACCAGTCAAATAGCAATGGAAATGAGGAGATACAACTTAGCAGTACTGGGAATCAGCGAAACCCACTGGACCCAAGCTGGACAGAAAAGGCTAGCTACGGGAGAGATGCTGCTATACTCCGGTCACGAGAGGAAAATGCTCCACACACTCAGGGAGTCGCTCTTATGCTGTCCAAAGTAGCACGAAATGCACTTGTAGGATGGGAGTCTCACGGATCCAGAATCATCAAAGCATCATTCAAAACAAAGAAGGAGGGGATCTTAATGAATATTATCCAATGTTATGCACCCACCAATGATAGCAACGACGACATTAAAGATCAGTTCTACGAGCGGCTGCAGTCAATCATTGAGAAATGCCAAGAAAGGACCTAACTATTCTGATGGGAGATCTAAATGCCAAAGTCGGAATAGACAACACTGGATATGAAGATATTATGGGACGACATGGACTGGGAGAAAGAAACGAAAATGGAGAAAGATTTGCAAATTTGTGTGCATTCAACAAATTGGTCATAGGAGGCACAATATTTCCACACAAGCGTATACACAAGGCTACATGGATCTCACCGGACCACACTACAGAGAACCAAATAGATCATATTTGCATCAACAAAAAATTCCGAAGGACAATGGAAGATGTGAGAACCAGGAGAGGTGCTGACGTAGCTTCAGATCACCACCTAGTTGTAGCCAATTTAAAACTGAAGCTAAAAAGAACTGGACAAGTGGACAAACAGCACTACAAAGGTTCAATACAGCCTTCCTTCGAGATACTGACAAACTCAATGAATTCAAGATAGCTCTCAACAACAGGTTCCAAGCCTTACAAGATCTACTGAAGAAGAAGAAACTACTATGGAGGACAACTGGAAAGGCATCAAGGAAGCATTAACTTCAACGTGTCAAGAGGTTCTGGGCCTAAAGAAACACCATCATAAGGAATGGATCTCTATAGAAACACTGGACAAGATCAAAGAAAGGAAGAACAAGAAGGCAGCAATTAACAACAGCCGAACACGAGCAGAGAAAGTCCAAGCACAAGCTGAATACATAGAAGCAAACAAACAAGTGAAGAGGAGCATTAGAGCCGACAAGAAGAAATACGTGGAAGAACTAGCAACGACGGCAGAAAAAGCTGCTAGAGAAGGAAATATGAAACAGCTTCACGATACAACGAAGAAACTAGCAGGGAAATACAGTAAACCAGAGAGGCCGGTCAAAGACAAAGAAGGCAAGCCAATCACCGAAATTCAACAACAGCGTAACAGATGGGTGGAATACTTCGAGGAACTCCTGAATAGGCCGGCTCCAATGAATCCACCGGACATCGAAGCAGCACACATAGATCTTCCTATAGATGTCAACCCACCAACGACGGAAGAAATTAGAATGGCCGTCAGACAAATCAAGAACGGGAAAGCAGCAGGACCCGACAACATACCAGCTGAAGCACTGAAATCAGACATCGAAGCAACCACAAGCATGCTATACCTTCTATTCAAAAAGATTTGGGAGGAGGAACAAGTGCCGATGGACTGGAAAGAAGGACACCTCGTCAAGATTCCAAAGAAAGGAGATCTGAGCAAATGTGAAAACTACAGAGGCATTACACTACTGTCAATACCAGGGAAAGTCTTCAACAGAGTGTTGCTGAACCGGATGAAGGATGCAGTAGACGCCCAACTTCGAGATCAACAAGCTGGATTCCGTAAGGATCGGTCGTGCACAGACCAAATTGCAACACTACGGATCATCGTCGAACAATCAGTTGAGTGGAACTCATCACTATACATCAACTTCATTGATTATGAAAAGGCATTCGACAGTGTAGATAGGAGGACATTATGGAAACTTCTTCGACACTACGGAGTTCCTGAGAAGATTGTCAACATTATCCGGAACTCATACGACGGACTACAGTGCAAAGTAGTGCATGGAGGACAGCTGACAGATGCATTCCAAGTAAGGACTGGAGTCAGACAAGGCTGTTTACTCTCTCCCTTCCTCTTTCTTCTGGTGGTCGACTGGATTATGAAGACCTCGACATCTGAAGGAAAACACGGAATACAATGGACAGCTCAGAATCAATTAGACGATTTGGACTTCGCAGACGACCTAGCCCTCCTATCACGTACACACGAACAGATGCAGATGAAGACAGCCAGTGTAGCAGCAGTCTCTGCATCAGTAGGCCTCAGCATACACAAAGGGAAAACCAAGGTCCTCAAATTCAAGCGGAGAACAGCAATCCAATCACTCTTGATGGCGAAACTCTGGAAGATGTAGAGTCCTTCACATACCTAGGAAGCATCATCGATGAACAAGGAGGTTCAGATGCAGACGTAAAGGCGAGGATCGGCAAAGCAAGGGTCGCATTCCTACAATTGAAGAACATATGGAACTCAAAACAACTTTCAACCAATATCAAAGTGAGAATCTTCAATACGAACGTCAAGGCAGTTCTACTGTATGGAGCTGAAACTTGGAGAACTACAACAACCACAATCAAGAAAGTACAAGTATTTATAAATAGCTGCCTACGCAAGATACTCAACATCCACTGGCCGGATACCATCAGCAATAGCCTTCTGTGGGAGAGAACAAACCAACTTCCAGCTGAAGAAGAAATTAGGAAAAGACGATGGAAATGGATAGGACATACATTACGCAAATCGTCAAACTGCATCACGAGGCAAGCCCTAACTTGGAACCCTGAAGGGAAGCGAAAAAGAGGAAGGCCAAAGAACACATTGCGTCGGATATAGAAGCAGATATGAAAAGGATGAATTACAACTGGACGGAGCTAGAAAGGATTGCCCAGGACAGGGTTGGATGGAGAATGCTGGTGAGTGGCCTATGCTCCTTCACGAGGAGTAACAGGCGTAAGTAAGTAAGTAAGTAAGTAAGACTGTATATTAGGCGTTTTAACAACATTGAAAAGTAATCGTTTCATGTTCTATAAATTTCATGTAATTATTAACTCACCTCTCCGTATATTTGATCTCCTGGCATCCAGGCCTCAATATCAACTTTTCTGTAAGCTGAATCACCAAGCTCTTCCGATGGCATTTCAAGAACTCTGGATTCATAAAGACATACATCGAAATTAATAAATATTTTAAGGATAAAAAGATAGTTGATGCTATTTAGATGTTTTGTGTGTATATGAGAAACTTATAATCCGATAAACTTACCCAGAAATATTACCAGAATGATATTTTTTAACCGAAGTGTTTAGATATGTATACAGAAATACTTTAACGTTATTTTCAACAGCGATTTGTTAAGCAGTTGGAATAAATGTTTATTTTATCGGAATTCAATATAACATTCGAGAAAAGTAAAGGTACTGCATGACCAGTATTTTTAAAACATCTCAGTTAAGATCATAGAGCCACATGGTCAAAAACATAGTAGAAGTTAAGTATTTGGAAGATATGCCATTCAATGGAGTGATGAGTATAGAGATAAGTTACTTTTATTTTCTAAGTAAAACTATACTATAATGACGACATTGAGCAGTTTGTAAAGAAATCAGAAAACAGTGTTTGGTTCTAAAACAGTTTATAATAATAGAATTATAATGGATACACAGTTCTAATATGATTAAGGAATTATGACATGTTAAATTGTTTATTATAATAAACGAAAAAAAGACTAAGGTTAAATAATTAGGAATCAGAGTAGGGTGAGTTAAAATAAGAGAATATGTTTTAGCCACGAAAACATCCTATACTATACCATGATTTACATGAAGGACGTTCAACGAGTAATTAGCGTTTTAGATACAATCGGTACCAGCAGTAAGTATTCTTCTCATTTAGATTGCATACTGTATCGCATCTGCACAGTAGATATGTTTACAAATCTTAAGCACCTTAATAACTAAATACAGGTAGTTTTTACTGAGATACAAGGTATACACCAACACGTTTTGAATTTCGAACAAAAATCGAAGAGGTGCTGACGAGTCCCAAATAGGATGAAACGCGCGTCCTAGATTCCATTGCTAGCCACTATCAATCTTTTCCCCAAATGCCCTGGTACGGTCTAGAGTAGGGAGAGTTCGCTCTCCCTCTCGAAATGCTCTCACATAGCCACGCGTACATAAGCTCTGCCACGGAAGTCCTGATCACTGCCTTCTCGTGGCCGGGTTGTTTTTTCACGAAATTGTGAGAGTGAAAAGCGAAACTCTGGCGCTTTAACAGGTTTGGTGGACACGTGGGGTCCGCCTACGGGAGTTGGGAAACCCTGATTCCAAACCAATGGTGCACATGGGCTCCAGTATCCTGAGAGAACAAGTGGTGTATGAACCAATCGTTGATCAGCGGCTACCATGGGACTGCATCTCCTGACGTTGCTCCACTGCCTTGTGGATCAGACCTTTAGGTTGAAGGCTCCAAGTGTGGCCCTCTAAGAAAACCACCTTCTTCGGTCTGGGCACCCGGGCAGTATCACAGCCCTCACACATATCAAATGAGATTGTGTGGCGCATATATATTCGGTGCTCCTTTGTACCAATATCTATGTGTTAAAATATTATACGTATATTTTTAATGTATAACTAACTATTCAGCAGCTAGATCATGTATATCTATACTCCTCTTATTGCAAGCTTTACTTTGACCTATAAACTATTATTATATGATTTACCGTTCTCGAGTTATGCTCAGTCTATTAATTACAGTTTCCCACATTCATAGCCACCTTTGGCTAGATTCTGTACAAATGTTATTTTCTATTTCATGGCACGATGTGGTCTGCTTGGTTTGTATATAAACCCAGTATGTTTGAAATAAATGATTCATATCGCAGAGGCTGAGATTGGTGTTCTGGACTCAACAGGCTGGGAGAAGGACCGACAAAGACTTTGGACTGCCCGTCCGGGTCTTGTGTGTCATCGGTTCGATCGATAATTCACAGTATCATTACGTTATATAACAATAGGGCACAAGGCCACAAGTTATAACACTTAATTCAAACTACTAAGTCTTGTAGTATCAGAAACGTTTAAACGAAGAATATTTACAAGAACAAACTATAGATTGCGATTAAGAGTAAGTGATAGTTTTTTTTCGAAATTTACTGATAATAAGAAATGATTTACCTAAAATGTAAACCTAAATCAGCGAATAGACATATTTGCAATTTGATAATTTGATTGAACATTGCGTCACTGACAAGTAATGAGGGGGCAGTAATGGCAAACATTTCTACCTATGAATGCGAAGAAATAACAGGAAGAAATGAATTACTTTCAATTGTATTTTCACAATGTTTGATTAAGTATTACTTACTTACACTTGTCATCCCTCGCGGAGGAGCATAGGTCGCTCACCAGCACTCTCAATCTAACCCTGTCCTGGGAAATCGTTCCCAGTTGCTTTTCATACTTTTCATATCTGCTTCCATCTCCCGACGTAGTGTGTTCTTCGGCCTTCTGCTTTTTCGCTCCCCTTCAGGATTCCAAGTTGGGGTTTGCCTCGTGATGCAGTTTGGTGATGTCCTCAATGTATATCCTATTCACTTCCAGCGTCTTTTCCTAATTTCATCCTCAGCTAGAACTTGATTTGCTATCTCCACAGCAGATTGTTGCTTATGGTTTCCGGCCAAAGGACATTGAGTATCTTGTGTAGACAATTGTTTATAAACACTTGAACCTTTTTGATGATGATTGTAGTGTGGTGTTTAAACAGACAGAAGTAGTATTTATCACAAATCGAAAGTGGAATGGCTGGCGGCAGACGATTGATAAAATCAAATAGAAGACAACGAGAACAGAGAGTGATTGGCACCGAAACAAAGGAACAACAACGTCCGAGATAATTGATGGATATTTCGCAAATAAAGTATTTACTAAATAATTCCGTATTTCTTTGTTCAAATACATTAAGTTGTCCACACTGCTATTCTCGTTCACTGTAGTAGAAGTTCTGCAAGCTTCAGCTCCTTACAGCAGGAGTGTCATGACATTCGTATTGGAAATTCTGACTTTGATATTGGTTGACAGTTGTTTTGAGTCCCATATATTGCTCAGCTGTAGGAATGCTGTCTTTGCCTTGCCAATCCCCGCCTTCACATCTGTATCTGATTCTCCTTGTTCATCGGTGATGCTGTCCAGGTACGTGAGAGTTTCCACCTCTTCCAGATTTTCTCCATCAAGTGTGATTGGATTGGTGTTCTCTGTGTTGTATTTGCAGTGTAGTCAGTCCGTAGTATGAATGCCTGATGATATTGACCATCTTCTCAAATACACCATAGTGTCGAAAACGTTTCCATGAAGTCCTCCTATCCATACTGTAGAATGCTTTCTCATAGTCAACTGATTGTTCAACGATGATCCGTAGTATCGTAATTTGGTCTGTGCACCGTCTTCCTTCTTTTGAAGGATGGTTTGATAATCCTGAATCCATGAGTTTCCCATTCAACAAGTGTATTTCGAGCTTCTTCGACAACATGCAAGCAACTCCCTGAGTGTGAGAAGGATTTTGTTCTTCATCGACAGCGATTAAATATACTTTCTAATATTTAAGAGAACGTGGATTAACATTAAAATGACGAAATACGTAGTTGTCAGGTTTTACATACAACAGAGTATTCATCTTTTAGACTACATGTTTTATAGTAACATGTTGATTTGAAATGTAAGCGGTTCTTTAATGATGTTAACATCTAAATACTATATAAATAGTTTTTATACATAAGAAGTGACCCAAGTGACAGTATACACTTACAAATGGAATTGGAAATTAGTCGGTATTACTTGTGATTTAAAAACTTTTGAAATAGGAATTAATTTAAGTTAACGTACATACTTTAGTGAACTGGTGTACTCGATAAAGCGTTGGCTCTTGGTTGGGAGCTTCTTTGCGAAAACACCGACTCACAGAACATAATCCAAGAGCGGAGGATTGATTTGATTCATCTGCTTTGTCATTTTCAGAAGTACAGTTAAAAGACCGACCAGCACAAAATCCAGCTAATGCCATTTCAGATGTTCCAGAGAGACAATAAGCTAATTTAGACACAGGTGGGGTTATTTTATAAATCTGCAGTAAAAAGAAATGATAAGTAGTAGGCTAGTAGAAGGAAATAAAATTATAAGCATATTAAAATTAAGTAATGAAATTCTTTTATTTATTTATTTACTAAAACACATAAAAATTGCTAAAAACAAACCAAATAGATATACTCCACACAATAATTCGATATGTGTGAGAACTGTGATACTGCCCGGGTGCCCAGACCGAAGAAGGTGGTTTTCTTAGAGGGCCACACTTGGAGCCTTCAACCTAAAGGTCTGATCCACAAGGCAGTGGAGCAACGTCAGGAGATGCAGTCCCATGGTAGCCGCTGATCAACGATTGGTTCATACACCACTTGTTCTCTCAGGATACTGGAGCCCATGTGCACCATTGGTTTGGAATCAGGGTTTCCCAACTCCCGTAGGCGGACCCCACGTGTCCACCAAACCTGTTAAAGCGCCAGAGTTTCGCTTTCACTCTCACAATTTCGTGAAAAAACAACCCGGCCACGAGAAGGCAGTGATCAGGACTTCCGTGGCAGAGCTTATGTACGCGTGGCTATGTGAGAGCATTTCGAGAGGGAGAGCGAACTCTCCCTACTCTCGGCCGTATCAGGCATTGGAAGGGTTCGAGTCGCTGGATAACTACACGGTGTTTACGGTAAGATAGGAATCTAAGGTTCGTCAACATTCAAATAACACTCCTAACTGGTTAATGATAAGATCATATATAAGAATGAACTATAAATGTTAACAATACAACTTGAGCATTTCAGAAACGAAATTCCTCATCCCATCTCTCTAAAGTCGAGATGCTACTATGTCACCATAATGGTATAGCTTTTGGTCATAATAACGAAAACTAAAATTAATGTACGTTTATAGCAATTAATTGAAATACTGTTTAGAATAGATGAGAATGATTTTAATTTGAGACTTGTCAATAATACAAATCTTCTCCACCATCTCAAGACATTTAAGTAAATATTTATAACAATAGAAGACTAACAAACAATGCAAGAATTGTTTTACTTGAGAACGAATTCCTTGAGTTGAAAACCACAAGCTCTGATGACAGGTTCAGGTAGAATATCGGGTACAGATACAAATTCAAAACCAGTTGCTTTCAAACGATCCACGGTATATGCGACAAGTGCAGACTCTAATTGTGCTAATGGTCCACTAAAATAATAAGTCTTGTGTCCAGCGCCTAGAGTTGTATCTTTTACACGGAGATGACCTTCAGGATTGATAGTTATGGAAGAGTTGGTATTATGATGATTGATTACAGGTTGATGTGTACCTGAAGTTATATTGACTACATCTAAAAGCTTCCACCTCTCTAATTGTAAATCGTACAATGAAACAAAAATAGATTCATAGTTATATCATTAAATTACCAATGTGAAATGAATATTGTCTAAAAGATTTAAAAGAACGTGCATTTCCTGTATATATATATATACATCAGTAGATGAACAATCTCATTAGAACAAATGAACTGACGTTTTCTAACAACAACCAGTGATATAAGAATAACGAGCTTGTCTTAAAATCTGAACGTTGCAATTTTAGTCCCGTGAAGGGCTTTGGAAGATATATGTTGCTATGCCGAGACAAACTACAAAGAAACAGTTTCCAAACATTTCCTCGTTTACAAAAGTGTCCCTAAGGACATCAGTTCATCATTGTAGAACTATCCCCACAACACACTAACCTCTGAATTAAACAAATAAAATTTGGACATGCATTAACCCACCTTCACGTTTAGATCCATGAATATATATATGACGTGCTTTGAACGAATCACCAATCGGCTATGATGAAAAAAATAATAAATGGTATCTAGAAAGATCAAGTAGTAACCGTCATTTATAGTGATATTACACCCTGAATATTTAATAGCACTTACAGTAAGTGGATGAGTAAAATTTGGTAATTCATATACTAATGACATTAGTTCATCATGTGTTTCCGTATGTTTTGTTTTAGTGTAATTTCTGTAAAGATCCAGCTGAAAGGAAAATGGAGTGAACATTAAAACAAATAAAGTTAAAAAAACATATTTCCATACAAGACAATTTACTATAAATATATAAGGCCTTCAAATGAAGGACATTTTTGAATTTGACTTAGCGTTGTTTGAAACCAAAGTTTAAGGTTGTTATTAGTGAGCTATATAATCTGAATGTGATAATAGTCACACTTGTTTTGTTTATTGAATTCTTAACTGGACTACTGCATTACATCATACTCACAAAGAAAGCAAATTTAGTAAAGGAACCTAAATAACAAAGAGGGGATTTAAGCAAATAACTAGTTTATTAGGTAACACGAACATAAAACTCATTTATTTGATGAGATGCAACAATTCTTTAATCCAAACGATCAATTTATGGATTTACATTGACATAATGAAATGGATTTACTTAGGCTAAGAATTCCATGATACCTTTATGATTGACAGATTCCTTAAACTTGAATTAATGTAAATAGATACTGTCTACAATTAGAGTATATATAACAAAAAAGATCTAAGTTTCTCAAGTCTGATAAAACATCTATCGAATAAAAGTTGTTGCCTATAGAGGTCTATGGATGAAAAGACATTCAGTAACTTCACGTAACTAGTTATTTAATAACGTTAAATATCAACAAAAGAACGTTTGTCTAAATTTGATCGAATAGTTTCACAGTGTTATAACTTGTCAATTGAATGCTACTTGTTATATCTGTTCGTCGCTGATTGTTGTGACAGAGACGCTTATCACTTACACTCGAAACGAGGGACCTCTGCAATTCCCACGACGACGATTCTAGTCGAAAATAAACTCATTTAAATATTGATTGTACACCCATTGTGATCAATAATTAGGATGAAATCACATATATAAAAAAATACTTAGAGTTATAACAAATTACATACTGAGCATAGTTTATGTCAATGGAATACAAGAATATCGCATATTATACAGACTAAAATATCATACGACAAAAGAAAACAAATACTTCACTGAATGATCATTACATTGAATCAAAATGGAAGTATTCTTGAATAAAACTAATAATGAGTAAATCAATTTAATTTTAACTTTTCTTCTTGTCATATCACACAGTGGCCAAAAATTTGATCACCAGAATTCAAAAACTTGTCACTGAACCAAATGATATAGAAATGGAAATGAATTTAATTATATCCACTTTAACGATGAATAATTATCCGAAGGATTTTATGAAAAGAATAATTAAGAATGAAGAACAAAACGATATTATTGAAAAAAGAGTTAACCAAAAAGAATGGGTTAACACAGTGATGATCCCATATCGTAAAGATATTTCAGAAGAGATCAGGATTCTAACTTTTCAAAATATAAGAGCATTCTTTCGAACAAACAATGCTCTAAGATCAAAACTAGTAAGAACCAAAGATTCAATACACAAGGAAGAACAACAGAATTGTGTTTATGAAATCAAATATAGTTACTGTAATGCCACATATATAGGTGGAACATCAAGGCAACTGAATGTGAGAATGAAGGAACACAAACTATGCTTAAAGCACATTCCTAAATCTTCAGCTAGGGTAAGGAAACCCGAGAACAAATCAGCGGTAGCATTACACTCTATAGAATCGAGTCATACAATTTATTTCAATGGCACAAGAACCCTTCAAAAAGGCTTTAATTCTTACAGAGAGAGACTAACAGCCGAATCCCTACACATATGGGCAAATCCAGTATGAGAGATGGAATACAATTAGCTATCCTATGGCAACTAACATTTAATAGTCAGTCAGTCAGTAATAACGTAGAACTTCGTACGTAAGTACATCAGTTCGAGTTGCCATACCACATTAGCACACAAATACAATTGTCGATTTCAATCGCGTAGTGGTAGAGGTAGTAAGAGCACAAGCAGTAATCGGAAAGATTAGGGTTTGAAGATGTTATTCAAGGAGTATAATACAGTGAAATAACTTTGGAGAGAAAATAAGGGACATGAAGAATCCAGAAGATTAGAATTTGAGAGAGCACAAAGAGTGGATGCACCTGAGCCATTGCAAACGATTTTGAGCCATATCATTCAGGGTCACCAGTCATCGGTTGCTATCATCTCGCGGTCCCCAACCAGGTAGTCTACACCTACCAATATGGCTCAGACCACTTGTCAGTGACTTCACGGACTTGTGCCATGTTTTGGTCTGGCCGCCCCTAGCTTTCTTCTAACCTACCCCTACACCGTAAAACATAGCACGTCAAGGCAGTCGGTGGTTGGGCATACGTAACATGTGTCCCAGCCATCTCAACTGATGAAGTTTCACCACTTCATCAATTGATTTGCCATCCTTACCTAGTACCCGTTTCCGAACAACTGCGTTACTAATAATTAATAAGTAAACATGAACTCTCTATTCCATTTTATCTATCTCTTATTATCTGAATAACAGCAATTATATTTAACGGTTCAATCAGCTGTCCTATCTGAGTATGTTAAACAATTAACTGGGACATCAAAATAACACAAACATTCAGTTACAAATACATTCTACCTCCTTGAATTCATTCCTTCATCTTGTTTATTTATCTGCAATTTGTGAATTCTGTGGCATTTTTAATTCATATTATACATAAAAATAATGTTTTCTTAAAATTCACCGACCGAAGAAATTGCTTCTCACACCATTCACGTATACACATTATATTATCTTAGCCCTTTTCGAATCACATCACATGTCTCTTACACACTAATGCAAATACCTACTTCAAACATTGTTAATGTTGATTGGATGACCTATTCAGTGAACCGGAGAACCATGTACCTATTTATATTCGATAATTATATTTCATTGAAAAAGCTTGGACCAGATTACCAGGCGAAACGTTGGATTTACTTCAAATTCATTAGCTGAAACTTTACAAATACATTCTTCCTCTTTAATGTTAAATATCAATGACTAGTCATGAGCTTGAATAAATAAAATGGCGAAATGACAATTCATTTACTAAACCGACGGCTCAAACAATGGTTAGAAACATAGAACTACCAACTATTTAAATTCATTTTGTGTTGGCTGCTTGAATATTCCGATTGATGTTTAGGACTGCAATTGATCACTCGCTTATTGTCATATATGCATCCTGTGTGGATTGCTTCTATGTTCACTCCAAGACATCAACACTGGGATCCAGGTATGTCCAGCTGAAGGGTCCTAAATAGGACCGAACGCACGTTCTGGATTACATTGTTAGCCACCATCCATCTTTGCTTATAATACTAAATATTTAGGTACAAAATATTCAACTCAGATAGTACGATTTACCATTTATAACAAGGATAAGATCAATATATATTCATTTAGAAGTTAAGAGATAGATACTTAAACAGTTGTCTTTTTGATCACATCCGTTTTAAGTGATAATCAATTAAGAGCTATTCAATAATCAACGATTCTTTCATTGAAGTATTATTTATAAATGAATTTCAATATTTAGTTTCAATGTATGTGAAATTAGAACTGTACATGATATTAGAACAATTAAATATATTTTGAATTCTGTTATTCTTTTGGCTTAAAAATTGTATATACATGAATATAAGTATATGGTTAATGTATACATAAGACAATATTGTAACGAAAATCTTACCATATGATCAAGATTTAAGTTACTTTTACGAGCTGTTAAATTTGCACGTAGATTTTCAATGAACTTTTCATCGTTAAATAAATTCAGATTAAAATGAGGTTGGAAGGATTTAGATTGTTGACAATAATTGTGATGATTCAAATACACAAAAGAAACCTCATTAAATTTGTAATGGTTACGCAATTTATGGAATAGATGGAAAAATCGGTAACTAGACAGCTGCATCTCTTTTTAAATATAGTGACGATCCTCTAAAAATTTAAAGTAAGCAGAAAACATTCGACTGAAACACATAGTTAATTTTAACCAATTCAGAAAAAAGACTATTCAGCTTTACAAACAAAGATAATTTTAGGGTAACTATTTGAACTTAGATATAAAAGAAACTCGAATTTCTTTATTACTGTAAAAGTTCTAGTTTCATAATTTTAGAAGTATCTTTTAGGACTAATGTGAAACTATTGATCTAATAAACACGGAAAAATAAAGGAATCGAAGTTTATTAATGAAATACTTACAGTATAAATTAACCATTTATTTATTTATTTATTTATTTGAACACATAAATATTGGTACAAGAGAGCGCCAATATATATGCGCCACACAAAACAATGGAATTCGAAGAGAAGTAGAAAGAAAAAAAAAACAACTAAGGAACGCAAAAGAAAAAGAGAACAATGACGAAGAGATTGGAGTAAGGTAGTGTGGTAGTAACGACGGAACGAAAAGGTACAATCAGAAGAAATCTTTCAGGTAAAGGAGACACAACCACTTTTTATGAAGAAAGTAAAAGAAGGTTACAGCAGGATCGCCACTGGCTTCTATTCTGAGCCATATCTGATAACGTCTCTAGCCACTGTGTAGCACCATCTCTCGGACCCCAACCAGGGAGTCGTGAAGGACCAACACAAGCCAGTCCTTTGCAGCTTTCTTTCATGCCACGACACCATGTCATGCACTGACCACCTCTCCGCTTCTTCCAACCAGTCCCAGAGTCGGCAAATAATGCACGACGTGGAATTCTCTGGGACGACATTCGGAGAACATGTCCAAGCCACCGAAGTCGGTGTTTCAAGATGGTGACACCAATTGAGTTATCATCTCTGTGCCCGAACACACGATGCCGAACCTCTGCATTACTGACATGGTGTTGCCACTGAATGTCAGCAATCCTTCGGAGACAGCGATGATCGAACACAGAGAGTCGTCTAACGTCCTCAACTCGGAGAGGCCAGGTTTCACAAGCATAGAGCAAAACTGCTCTCACCGACGCGTTGTAGATCCGACCTTTTACAGCCAGACTAACATCACGAAGGCGCCAAAGGTGGCCCAGATTGGCATAAGCCGCTCTGGCTTTCACTATTCGTGCATTGATCTCATCACTCACACCCCCACCAGCACTTATGCAGCTACCCAGATACACGAACTTCTCAACTACGTCTATCTGCTCACCATCCAGGGTGAGTACAGGATTAGAATCCTGCCAGTCTTGTAGAAGTACTTTGCACTTCGAAGGTGCAAAGCACATACCATACCTACGGACACTGATTGCCAACTGATTAAGTGCGGATTGCATGCCTTGGGCATTATCGCACAGTAAGACAATATCGTCCGCATACTCAAGGTCGAGAAGTCTTTCTCCAGGCAACAGATCCACACCACCATTACTTACATTCATCAGAGCTGTTTCCAGAATGTCATCGATGGCAAAGTTGAAGAGGAATGGTGAGATTGGGCAACCCTGCCTAACCCCACTGCTCGAATGGAACAATGGAGAGAGGTGGTTGTATGCCCTCACTCTGCCTGAGGTGTTTTTATACAGGGCTTTTAGGATGTTAATAAACTTCTCAGGCACACCCTTCTTCAATAGACAATCCCAGAGAACAGTCCTGTCCAACGAATCGAAGGCAGCCCTGATGTCAAGAAACACTACGATTGTTGGCCTTTGAAAAGTATGGCGGTGTTCTAACATTTGGCGGAGGGTGAAGATATGATCAATACATCCTCGACCAGAACGAAACCCAGCCTGCTCCTCGCGAGTCAATCTTTCTCGGGTTTTGAACAACCTACGAAGAATGACGGAAGCCAATAGCTTGGACGCAATCGGAAGTAAACTTATCCCCCGATAGTTGTTACAAGAACGACGTGAACCCTTTTTAAAGATAGGGACAACTATCGACTCATTCCATGACGTTGGTACACTCTCTAGTTCCCAAACCTTTGTAAACAACGTCGTCAATTCCTTAGTCAAAAAGTCACCACCATCTTTAAAAAGAGCCGGAGGTAAGTCATCTGGGCCAGGTGATTTGTAACGCTTCAAGAGTTGGAGTTCCTTGCGGACTTCCTCCTCATTTGGTGGATCAGTCGTCACCGGCCATGGAGGGCAGGACAGTCTGACCGATGTTGCCGGAGCAGCAGGCCAGTTGAACTGCCCTTCGAAAAATTCTGCCCATCGTCCAAGACGTCGATGGATGTTAGTGATTGGCATCCCATCATCCTCGCAGATTGTTTCACTCACACCAGACTTCTTGCTGCCAGTGGCTCGGATGAGCTGGAAGAGCTTCCGGTAGTTACCAGATGCAGCTGCTGCTTCCAGCTCATTAGCACGCATCGACCACCAGGCTTCTCGGTCCTTACGCAAGCTTTGCCCAATTTCCTTACGTAACATCCTTCGTTTATGGTCAAACTCACGGTCACCCGGAGTAGACCGACGGGCTTCAATGAGTTGTAAGGAACCAGAAGAAACCCAGTGCTTAAAAGCGGGACGTTTCGCAAACCCACAACTGACTGTTCCCGCCATTTTCATGGCGTCATGCAATTGCAACCAATGCTCATCTATACTTTTCGGTGGAGTGGTAGCTAGCCTAGAGGCTAGCTCGGTTCGATACTTACTTGCAACAGAAGTTGCAACCAGCTTGCTAACATCAATCCGTTGATGGCGGTCACTTCGTTGTCCACTGAAAAGTAAGGCAAGATTGGCGCAGACCAAGGCATGGTCAGAGTCCAGATAGGTACTCCAAAAGGAGCGGCAGTCTTGTACACAACCACGCCAGCGGTAGCTGATCGCGATGTGATCAATCTGAGTCCAGGCTTGAGATGCAGAGGGAGGACGCCAGGTGGCACATCGGCGATGACTGTGCCGAAAGTTAGTGCTAGCCAGAAACAGGTTGTGGTCTGTGCAAAGTTGCAGTAGACGGTCCCCGTTATCTGACCTGCGACCAACGAGTCCCCATCGGCCACCTAAACGACTCTCTTCTGTGCCTAGACGCCCGACCTGAGCATTCAAGTCTCCGGCTAGTACTACAATATCTGTCGAACGCACTTTCTGGAGAAGAACAGATAACTGGTGGTAAAACTCATCCTTGATTGCATCCGGGCTGCAATCTGTCGGGGCATAGGCGGAGATGACGAAAAGACATCGTTTCTCACGCCGATTTCTTCTCACTTTGATGGAACTTTCTAATCTAACAGCACATAACCGACTGTTAATGGGGATCCAATCGACTAGTGCTGCCTCAGCTCTAGCGCTTAGTGCGACACCAACGCCAGCAAGACCAGACGAAGATGCCACAGGGTCCCCGGATAAGCGCACGTAAAACAAGCTTTTCGAAGCGACAGATGGAGATCGAATTTGTAGTACTTCGCCAGAGTCTTGAATACGGGTCTCGGATAGACAACAAACATCGATATTAAGACTTTCCAAAGACATAGCCAGCCCTATCTGTTGTCCGACCTGCATAAATGTGCGAACGTTGAAGGCAGCCAGTTTGAATGGTGCACGTGGTTTCAGAAAAACTGCTTCAGTCCTCGTATTCGGTGGTAACATACAATTTTCAACCGGACAGTGACTCGAGAACGTTTAGATACAGTCGGATTTCCACCAAAGACGAGCCGCTGTATAAGTATAAAAGAGGGTGAATAATGTGGAAAATAATAATAATAATGATAATAATAATAATAATGACAATAATAGTAGTAATAATAATATTAGTATTAATAATGACAATAATCTGAATCAATTGTTTGTTTTTCAAAGCGAGAAAGGTAATTTCCATAGGCATAAATTAACCAGAATTTATAAGAATAACAATTGGCTTAATTACTCAGAGTAAATGATTTCAAAAGACAAAATGTACAAGTATAAATAAAAGAGAATACACACAACATTCGTCAGTTGTATATTTATATGGTGGATCGAATTAGAATGTGAGGATCAAATCAAGTATCTAGAGTCAAACGTTGAAGCCCTTAAGCTAGTTTTATTCAACAATGAATATGGTTTACAACATTTGATAATGAATGAAATTGAAATTTGGAATATAAATTTTGTACTATTTGAGACTTGACTAAACTTACTTGATTTTGCAAGGAGCTCCTTGAATTCAGCAGTTGTTGTGATTCATAAAATAGTACTTAGTTTAAAAAAGGTGATAATTACTTTCGATACCCGAATATCTCTATCAAGTGAAGCTACAATACATATTATTATGAAAAATGAACATTGGACACCATGATAAGCGTATTAAGAACCTATCAGTGGGCATTACAGATGCGGTAGTTTCATGGAATGAAGACGATCATGGTCATATTTTGAAAAGGTAATGTATTATATTAGTAGACATATTTAAATCATAAGGCTAAAACTAATGACGGTATATATCCAACTTTTTGTACATACCTAGAATAATTTGTGCATTGTAGAATGCTAACTACGTCTACTATAACCGAGACTCAAATGATCTGAAACATAAGCTACATATAATTACTAGACAGGATGAAACGGTTAACAAATTTGCCAATTGTAGATTCTGTGATGACAATACATGATGATACAGACCAGTCTAGTTATAACATTTTGGTGCTAAAAGCATATCAGAAGTTGCACAAGTTTCCCCACATAAATCAATGAACTATATGCCTCTGTGTTGTCTATTTCAACAAAACTACTAATAATTCAGATTAATCAGCTGTATCAAATAATTAACATATTTTAGTTTTCAGTGAAATGTAAAAAGAGAATTGAAGAAGTATAGAAGAAGCCATAGCAATAAACAATCGCTAGCGTTTAACGTTAGTTTCCACATCATATCGTGCTAAGGAAACCGATTTTTGAAGAATAACACACTTAAACCACAATATTATACGCTAATATGTAGTCTGTCACTCGTCCACTTGCAATAAACAATTGAAGTCAGTGATTAGATTGTGTCGCCCTGCAATATCGA